TGGGGGGGGGGGGGGGGGCTCCAAGTAGTGGAAGCAGGGTCGCACAGGCAACCAGGAAGTGGGAGCACCAGGAAAATCTCAATGGCCTGGTCTGCCTGGTTGATATCCAGGGTGATTTTGGATTGGTATATCAAGAGTCTGACATGCAAAGACTCTATTCAGTGTTGAATGTTGTCAAGCATAGCCAGATTAACATCGAAAATTTTTATTCCCTCTTCTCCTTCTCTCAAATTTTGACCTTTCAGTTGCTTTTTATAGATTTTTTCTGTTGCTCTCTTTGCCTTAAAAGACTTCTCTGAAACTGAGGCTTAAAGTTTGGTCAAATGCGGTAAGCTCAAACTTTTGTCAGGAATGTTTCTTTTTCCCATTGTTTTTTTTCGAGCAGTGTTTCTATTACCCAATGGCCTTGTCTTCTAATTCTAACGAAAGTGCTAAACATAGTATGGTTGCTTTCGCACTCAAATTTATTCTGTCTCAGTAGAGATTCAATTAATTCTGTCATGTAAGATGCAGCAAAACTTGACCAATTTGCTCTCCTTGACATGTTACTAGTTCATATTGCAATGTACGCTTTTACAAAATTATGATTTGATTACATTGCTCTTTATCCAACCTCTCCTCCCCCCTGTTCTGTAGCCTTTAATCCTCCCCATTGGAATTTTGCTTTTAAATGAAAATTACTAAAAATAAAAATTCAAACGCAACAGGGGCAATCCCTTTTCTTCTTGAGGTCAATATTGTTCAGATTGAGATCACTTAAATGCTAGCCCATAAATGTTAATCCGGAAATTGATCTTTTGGAACCTTTTTTGGATGCTTAATTCTCAATATCAAACTTTTTAAAGGTGAAATTTATTTTCCTAACGATGAATGCTCCTAGCATCATCAGCTTGTTTGGATGTTCCAGGATCATGTCAAAGACCTGTCAATATCCAAAGGTGCCCATATTTTTACCCTCTTCATTTCAGAATTTGATGCATTGAGTCGTCTTGGCGTGTTTGATCCTCATGCGTTTGTTCGAAACCACTTCCAATCTGAAAAACTCTTCTTTTTACCAACTGCTGCCATTGGACAACAATTGATTTCACAAGTAGAAGCAACTGTTGAAGAGACATTAGCTACCGGTTCTTTCACGGACATAATGGTACCTTCTTTTTTTAGCCATCCATACCAGTTTTTTTTCAAACCTAAATTATTGGTCTTAAGCTGGACCAATATTCAAAGTTTTTTTTTTTTTGCAGAACTCACAAAAAAATTTGAATTATTATAGGGGCACTACGACTAAGATTTGGCTAGGAAATGAGCTTAATGCAAAAACGGCTTTTTTCGCCCCCCCCCCTCCCTTGGAATTTCGTCAATCTTCGTCTATTGATTACTCATACATGACAGCTTCTTTTCCCAAATTTTCAGAGACCCCAAAAANAAAATTGGGGGGGGGGGTGGAAGCCAAAACCTGTGAACCTCAATATCTCTCGAACGCAAAAAGATATCGAGTTCTGGTTTGGACGAAAAATCGTCTAAAATTGCATACTTTTGGATTCTAAAGGTCAAAATCCGGAAATTCGGTTTTTGTGTCAAGAAAATGTCTTATAAACGAAGAATTTACAAAGTACTCAATTTTTTATTTGACCCAAAACCAGTTTTTTAAATTGTTCGTTTTTTTCCGCATCCAATCAGTGGTCCATTAAGCTGGGGAACCGAAGGATTCAAGAGTTATGGATGATCGAAGTTTCCGCTTAACGCGCGCCGACCGATTTTCGCACGCCAAACTATGGTTCCAGAGCCTAATCTGGGTATTAATAAATCAGATTTAATATTCAAACCGTTCAAAATACATTTTTAGAGATTCTTGAGGGTTGCTGAGTTAAAAAATTACAGATACTTCCAAAAATTCACTTTTTTTCAGCGCTACTTGAGAAGCCCACCTAGTGCCGACCGATCAGCCGCTCAGATCCTCAGCGTTGTTAAGTACAGTGCTTCTGATCACAATGTCATAAACCCTCCACGCATAATTATTGCAGAGCTTGAGATTATGCAATTTTGGTCAATTTAAAACTAATTTTAGATTTCCAGCTTTCTCTAAATCGTGTGGAGCTCTCTTTCCATTGCAGTGTAAATATCTTATAAAAAATGCAAGTCATGGAACCACCTCAACAAAAATCTAGGAAAACATTAGTTTCATCAGTGTGCTCCACCAGAAAAGTTTATAGTCCATAAAGCGGAAAGAAGAAGGGAATGGTCATTTTAAACCTCAGTACCTACTCAATATGTGCTCAAATAATTATTATGTTTTCCTTCTCCAGGATGACTTGCCATCTGTTTTTGAGCCTGAAGATGGAGCCGTGATACTCAAAGAAGCATTGAAACGAAGCAAACTGAAACAACAGCCTCCGATATATTTAGAAACTATTGTAATGTCTGAAGAGTATTTTGATAAAATCATCCAATTTGTCAGAGAAAATTTGCTTCATAAAAATGTTGAATCAGTAAGTCCTCAGAAATTGTTTGTTCAAATGTTGATCAGTTTTGAACCTCCAAATCAGAAATCCAAATAATATACTTCTGTGAGGAGAAGAATTGAAGTTCCATAGAATATAGTTAATCCTGAAAATTTTACCTTGCAAACAGCGACCATTTGGAAACTTCTATGATCAGCTCACAAATGAGAAATTAAGATCAGTCATTTACATTTCTGCGTCATCACGGATCCTTCATAGGTACTGGCCGTGCAGAAACCTAACCCTGTACTGGTTACCAGCTGCTCCCAGCAGGCTTATTATTGAAATTGATAGACAAATAAGAAAGGCAAAATGGGGTGATCCTACCGTTTGAAATAGGTGGTTGTTGTAGATTAAGGGAGAAAAAAAATGGACGAACTACTGAGTTCCTCGTTGATTGCCGTTTGCAAGTCTATTACTTGCCTTGTTTGTTCATCGCAACCATCCCTCTCAACCAATAGGATTGCTCCATTTTTTCTTCGTCTCTGACTTCGTTCATTAATTTCAATAATAAACCTGCTGAAGGTGTGATTCTTTAGCTATAGAGGTAGGGTGTTATTATCAACTTGTGCGATAATCTAATCGAGTTTAATCTGTTTGGCCCTGTCAAGGAGGCACTTTTGCAAATTTCCAACCCTCTCATTATGCATTATTGTCACTATCACTTCTTTCTCAATGTTCAGTTTTTGTTTGTTGGCAATTTTTCTTTTTGTTGTAAAAAGCATCTTAATTTCAGGCTGTCAACTCCGGTGACTTTCTAAAAGCAATTGCAGACTCCAGGCTGAAAGGAGCAAACCCTGAAGTGGAATTTAAAGATGTAAAAGCTAATCGGAAAGATGAAAGACGGAAAGTTGCATCAAGTGGTAAAGGAGGAGGTGGTGCTCAGGTAATTCAGAAATTTGCTACCTTCAATTGAAGTGTATCAAAAATACTGTGCTACTGTATGATATCAATTTTGAAAAATAATGGTACTATTAGGTCGGTTAAGCCTTTTCCATGTAAGCGCAATTTGTGAAACTTGGAGCAAATTTGTTCATCAAACTGGGGTTACATGGAAGAAGTTCGTCCTTTCCGAAAACTGCTCTCATGAAGGCAGGGTCTTTTTTTTCATTCTTTTTATTCTCTCATTTGAAAGTACATACTAAGTTATTGGTTTTTTTCTAAAAACTTTTTTCCGAGCTCTTTTCTTAAATTTTGGAAATTGCCAGAAAAGGTCACTCAAAATAAGTTAAAACAATTAGGGTAGTGAAAAACAGGGTTTAAGCTGCGTGTTTGTTGCGTTTAAATATATGTGTCACAATCGATATGGAGTCCATAGTGGAAGAATACATAGCAGCGTTGTTATGTTTCATTGATCAGCAGAAGGTTATAGGCTAGGACTTGTCATTTTGAGAAATTCAACTGTTCTTTAACATACTTATTGGATATCCCTATTGCTGCATTTGCCATGGTCCCTTCTTTCAGATAGTCGTAACATTATCATGTTATAGCAGAACTGAGACGTCACCTCAAACGAGATATGAACCATGCTTCTAATGGCAGTGTGGTGGCTATGAAATAAATGGAAAACCAGTCCTCTCTGTGGAAGGAAGAATTCGTGTGGCACCAAAGAGCCTTATGCAAAAACGGCCAAATCCCCTGTAGCTCCGATTGCTTCCATTTTTTAGTATGCTATTTCACCATAACAAAGGGTCCCGTTTCTGATACTTTCAAGTCCAAAAAGAATTTTCCCGCGCTTTGGCGGCGTTGCCAAGCTGCAACCTTAAAAATTCGATAACTTTTGAACCAATTGAGCTATAGATCTGCGGTTTGCGCTAAAATTCTTTAAAAATTATGAACTTTTCTTTTATGTATGATTTTTGGATGGAACGTAACATTAAACTTATGATTCACCTCTTTTTTTGGATTTTTGATCCGTTGAATTTGACATGTTCGTAAATACCCAATAAAGCTAATTTTTTATTTTAAAAAAATATGTCCAATTGATTCCTCGTCTGATTCCGCATCTATCGATATGTCATACTCGGCGGGGAAACGATTGGTATAGAAGCTATGACCATTTTTATACGCGGGTTTCGACGCGCCGTACCCATTACGCACCGTTACAACCGTCCTGGGCTCCTCGCCGCGTGGCCTAGCGACTGATTCATCGACTTTACGCAACTTTTTAGTTTTAACTGACTTACTGAAGAGATAATTTGTAATAATAAAGTTCTTGTGTCTAGTGATTTGTTGTTCTAACCCATAGTTAATAGCTAGTTCTAAGTGTCAGAGACCATCCAGGCAAACGAATAATTTAGAATAAGTAGAAATGGAATGTTGATTTCAGCCAAGTGTTTTATGGTTGACGAAAGTTTAAAGACGATTATTTCCAATGTTTGAAATTCAAACAAAATGATGTAAAATAATCTTGCAAAAAAAAGTGAAACATAGGATAAAGTACCTCAAGAGTAAGCTAATTAAAACAGGTGAAAATAAAACTACCTATGCTAGGTTTCTTAATATGATTTAAATATGGTAAGTAATTTAAAGTAAACGTCACCCATTGAGATAAATTCCCACATTCGTCGTCTGAATCATCCTTGGATGTGTCCTTTAAGAAAAGTTTGATCTGGTATTAGTGCCAATACAAATATTCTGCCGGTGCCTTGAGTCCTGCATGACGGCCGAAACCTAGGTACCATATGATGACAATCGCATGTGCACAGTGCCTAATTGTTCTGGCTCCATTCATGCACGTACATAGCAGGTGGCCACTGATGACATTGTTCGTTTATTAAGATAAATTAATATAAACACATTGTAGATCTTTAGCAATTTGTGTCTTGTCAATAATCTACATTTCAAAAAAACTGGATCAACAACATGTATTCCTTGATCTACAAAATTTGGTTGGTAGCTGTCCTTGCTTTGAAATTCATATTTGCCGCAAGCAAAATGATCTGCTATGTCAGATCTTGCGAGATGTAACTGGTATGATCCACAAAATTGTTTAATATCTTCCGTGAAGTTGCTGAAAGTACGTCGGGCTCCTCCAATTTTCTAAAGTTTTTACTTTTTCGAATTAGGCCCCTAGTTTCCACGATTTTATGCATCAGATTTGGCTCGTTAATTTTTGCCAACATTTCCAATGCCACAGTTTCACTGTTCTCGTCACTGTAATTCCTACGAAAAAAAGCGTTGTGAATGGCGGCTGTTATTCTTAGATCCGTAAACAAAGATTTTTTGTAAGATTATTTTATATCATTTTGTTTGAATTTCAAACATTGGAAATAATCGTCTTTAAACTTTCGTCAACCATAAAACACTTGGCTGAAATCAACATTCCATTTCTACTTATTCTAAATTATTCGTTTACCTGGATGGTCTCTGACACTTAGAACTAGCTATTAACTATGGGTTAGAACAACAAATCACTGGACACAAGAACTTTATTATTACAAATTATCTCTTCAGTAAGTCAGTTAAAACTAAAAAGTTGCGTAAAGTCGATGAACCAGTCGCTAGGCCACGCGGCGAGGAGCCCAGGACGGTTGTAATGGTGCGTAATGGATACGGCGCGTCGAAACCCGCGTATAAAAATGGTCATAGCTTCTATACCAATCGTTTCCCCGCCGAGTATGACATATCGATAGATGCGGAATCAGACGAGGAATCAATTGGACATATTTTTTTAAAATAAAAAATTAGCTTTATTGGGTATTTACGAACATGTCAAATTCAACGGATCAAAAATCCAAAAAAAGAGGTGAATCATGAGTTTAATGTTACGTTCCAAAAATCGCTCATCCAAACGTTACGTTCGTTACGTTCATCCAAAAATCATACATAAAACAAAAGTTCATAATTTTTAAAGAATTTTAGCGCAAACCGCAGATCAATAGCTCAATTGGTTCAAAAGTTATCGAATTTTTAAGGTTGCAGCTTGGCAACGCCATCAAAGCGCGGGAAAATTCTTTTTGGACTTGAAAGTATCAGAAACGGGACCCTTTGTTATGGTGAAATAGCATACTAAAAAATGGAAGCAATCGGAGCTACGGGGGATTTGGCCGTTTTTGCATAAGGCTCTTTTGCACTTGGACGCTGGATTCTACATAGGCTGTCCAAAAAGTACCGAGACTGGTTCCATAACTCAAAAACCAAGATAGCTAGAGGCTTGATCTTGGTCTCATTTGAAAGATCAATTCAATATCTATCGATTGAGACCAAGATCAAAACTTTCGGTCAAGCATTTCAAAAGTTACGACACTGTTTGTAAAAAAAATATCTGGACCCCCTACCGTTTTTAATGACTATTTCCTCTTGCCAGTAACACTCTCTAAATTATTAGTCGTGCAGCGAAGCCGTATAGACTCTAGGTTTCGCCGGAGGCTAAAAAATGTTCACACTTTTAGGCTAAGTCCAAGAGGAGAATTTTCGAGGAACCAAGTAACATATGAAATATTGATATCGGTGCATTTTGGCCCAATGGAGATGTTGCATGTGGGAGGAATTTGCAATTTGACTGTTGATTCTTGTATGAAAGTTCGCGAGGAACACGATGGTGCCACTGGTTTTCTCTGAAATCATCTCCCAAGCTCAAAAAAAGCACTCAAGTTTAGGCCAAAATGGAGGGGATATCCCACCCTACCCTGAGAGTCCACGTCTACATGAAGACAAACTCACCATGCAGAGATAGGGAGCAAATACATTAGCAGGGTTGCCGTGTTTTCAGTTTTGGAGTCCCCACATAAATTGGCAGCCCTGTCAATGTATTAGCTCCCTATCTTTGCATGGAGAGTTGGTCTTGATGTAGACTTGGACTCTCAGGGTAGGGTGGGATATTCCCTCCATTTTGGCCTCAACTTGAGTGCTTTTTTTTGAGCTTGGGAGATGATTTCAGAGAAAACCGGTGGCACCATCGTGTTTCTCGCGACCTTTTACACAAGATTCAACAGTCAAATCGCAAATTCCTCACACATGCAACATCTTTATTATGCCAAATGGAATTTCTGATCATTTAGCCATGGTTTGGTAGCGTTTAGCAATCAACTGTGACCAAAATGTAAAGAACCCACACTGGTGCCTTTCGGCTCAATGTCGCCATATGGCATTCTTTATCATCAAGTCACTGTTGAACATTTACTGTTAAGTAGCGTTTAGCAACCAAGTATAGCCAAAATTTCCAGAACTCATACCTCAGATGTTCAAAGAGTGTTAACATGTGTCGCCAAATGGAATTTCTGATCATTTAGCCATGGTTTGGTAGCGTTTAGCAATCAACTGTGACCATAATGTAAAGAACCCACACTGGTGCCTTTCGGCTCAATGTCGCCTTATGGCATTCTTTATCATCGAGTCACGGTTTAAAAGCGTAAATAAGCAAGGTCAAAATGTCAAGACTCCAAACTGGTGCTTTTTGGCTGAATTTCGGCCAATAGGATCTTTAATGATTTATCAGTAATGGATGTTTATGTTGATTAATTATTACTGTCTGAAAGTGAATCCTGTGGGAGAATATTATAGGGTTGGTTCAAACAAGTTTTAGAATTTTTTTCTTTAGCGCTAATGGACCCGAAGCGACAACTTCAATTCATCGAACTAAATGTTTTCAATGTTCATAACCATTTTTTAATTGTCAGAACTCACTAGACCACATTATATTCATGATGAATTTAAAGAATATTGCTGTCAAAAGTTGAGTTCTCCTTCGATTTAGCACTTTTTGTCGTTACCTTAAAGACCATACAGAAAGTGCTAAATCTACGGAAAACTCAACTTTTCATAGCGATATTCTTCAAATTTATCATGAATATAATGTGGTCTAGTGAGCTCTGACTTTTAAAAATGGGTATGAATATTTAAGGCTTTATTTTCCTTGAATTTAAGTGGTTTTTCAGAGTCTAC